TTACTTGAAAACAAACACCGACTTGAGAACTGTTTCATTAAACAACAATGAAACGTTTTGATCACCCATACGTAGAGCTTTAGTGAGAGTAAAAAAACTTGCTGACCATTTTGATATGTTGCTAAGCATTTAGGACAAATGGGGCAATCGGTGCAGATTATCTCTAGGTCTTTTGTAGGATGGTTAGAATTTCTTTTCTTTTGGTTATGAAGGATATGGAGATAACGAACAGTATTCAATATCAAAGTCCATAAAACAATACAATGAAGGAGCAAAGCAAACACGGACCTCCGAAACATCAGAGGTGGGATCAGGTGAGATGACGTTTTGTCAATTAATAATGGTAGTTTCCATTTCTACGTCGATACGATATATATCTTGATAAAAGATATCACAGCGTCTGACACATCTGTTTCAAACTTTGATAATAAAACTATATTACTTTAAAAAGGCGTTAATGGTAATCTAACATACAAGCTCTACGATAAATGTGATGACTAACTTTTCCATCGCTAACTTCCCTTACTTAAGGAGCAATATACCTTCATCACCTGCATACGGAGGTTATACGCAAGAGCATGCTCTACGTATGAACAATTTCTAAAACGAGGTAAATTAATGACAAACAAGTTAATGAACGAGAGTATCAGCAGTCTCGTTTAAAGTCATAATTTCGTAAGTTCTATGGTTGATACAATGACCTTGTCAGCAAATACAATTTATCATTGAGTCAAATGCTGACTGACGTTTTCCATACTAATTGTTAGTACATTATTTATACAATTGACGACGGATTTTTACGTCATTTCCCGATCATGACAAAGAGCACACAACGGGTGTGACCCGTCGGCAGGGAATTCTCACTCTTCTATGACACTTGATCCCACCTCTGATGGTTTGGAGGTCCGTGTTTGCTTTTCTCCTATTTTGTATTGTTTTATGGACTTTTGAGCTTGAATACTGTTCGTTGTGTCCATATATTCCATTTTAAAATGATTAGGTTTATCTTATCCCACAGTGGAATTCGAACCCGCGAAGTAAGGATCAACTAATACATATTACTTGGCATCTCTAGAGCAGACACTCTAACCAGTAACCACTGCGCCACCATCATATACGTAATACAGATGATATATAGACATTTCTACTTTTTAAAATCAGAATTAATTATAATAATCTAAATGCACTCCTTTATGGAAAACAAACTGATATTAAGTATACATAATATTAAAACACTCTCTATGAACAAACTTTAAAAAAAAAATGACACAAAACTAATGATCACAAAACCTTTATTAGAAATAATTTTCCTAAATTGTATTCTTGTAATGTCAGGTTTGTATAATGTATTTTTGAAAGATCAGACTTCTAGGTTGCAGCAAACAAATCAATATTTAAATAAAAGATAATCTATTAATACTAAAGTACCCCAAAGCTGGTGGATTTCATTTTAAAGATAAAATCATTGTCTATGCACAGAAAAGTACGGTTTACAAAAACCTGTATTATACATGTTTTGATAAGACAATAAGACAATAATGTAACTGAATAAAATAATCCAAAATATCAAAAAATGCAAAATTCATATAAGATTAGTTCATTATTCATTTAGATGTCTTTCAATATCTTGATTACTTGTTGGGGTTTTTTTGTCTTAAAATACTGATGTAGTTTGTGGATTAGACTACATGTACTTTATTTTCTTAGTGAAAAGATACATTATGTGTATAAACACTAAATAAGAAAAGCAATATTTTTCACAACAATTCTGAACACAGTTATCTTAAAGTACATTCAAATTCATTTGGCCTCTTCACATGGCACAAATCTTCGTATACATGCAGGGCTATTTATAATCAATAGAGGAATGTTTCTCTTTCAAAGTTTGCAGATTCAGTTTTATGTTAACAAAAAGAATGATATGTATTGTAAAACGCATATACTATTTACCAGTTGGAATGGCTAGCTTCTTTCAATCAAATTATGAAACATAATATCAGACAATCAATTTGGGAACTTGCAGAAAAAAAGAGAATTTAGAAAAAGCAACACAATGTCAGCATATCATTGACCGTATTCATTAATTTCAGCATACTTCAAGCTTGGGATGAATTGTGAAAGAAAAATTATATTTAAATGGTATGTGATGAGTAAACCAAAAAAAAGTGTCCAGTTGTGTATATGTACTACTAAGAAAACCTTGCAGCAACTTTGTACATCTCGAATAAAAGTTACTTGATATCAAAATACCCCAGACAACTACATGTGCCAATATTGTTATGTACCTCAAATCTAGATACCTTAATGAAATGACAATGAAAATTCCACTGGGTGAGTCAATGCATCAAGGGGTTCAATGTTTTTGTTCATTGACATTAATACAATCTAATCTGTCAAGTGAGATATTGTTTGGACACTTTGTTTTGCTTTATATTATATTTTAATAACAGTAACTTTATAATTGAATGATACAGATTTCAAACTTTTACAAAATCATTAAAACTGTCAATTCATTCCGACACTTTTTAACACCACCCTATGATCAATCATTTATTGATTTCAAGATATTGCTAAATTCTAAAGGTTTATCACCAGAAGAAATAGAATTATAAGCATATATATCAAACAACTATTAATTTAATAATTAATTATTAATCAATTTTTAATTAATTTTGGGGTAATTTTTCCTATAGTATTTATAATTGGCACTTAGAAAAATTTTGAGCAAATTTTCACTACTTGTTTCCATTTTTGGTATACAGTTTTTTTTTTTCAGAAATATTCCTTATATATAATATGCTTAAGCATTGCACACTATGAGCACCAGTGTTGTATTTTGAATACTACCTTTTTAAAAAAACAAACCTGAAGTAATTTTATAAAGAAAAACAAAACATTTACAAGTACTGTTAATTAACATTTCTACTCAATACAAAGTTTTAGAAAACAACATTACACTGTATCAATCACAAAAAGATCCACCAGTCATATTGGTAAGATATTCCAATCATTTAATGATGACCAATCACTTAGTAAAAGAGAAATACAAATCGTTGTGTTTTAGTCTGCATGACATGCCCCAACAAGTGCCAGGATTAAAATAAAAGTTGGATCACAGAATTTTGAGATTATTGTACAAGTACTTTAAAAAGTGGGCTTCATATTTTAGTGTCTTTGGCGCGAACAACAATATGCTAATTGAAAACCGCTAAGAATAATATTAAAATACAATGCATGGCATGGGCATGTGTAGTGCTGATTTCAAATTACGTCAACTACCCAGTGAATGCACCAAATTTTTATTACACCATTTTATGTACATTCTGTCACTTTCAATATTAAATCAAATGAATGCAGCATTGTGCTTTTTGTAAGGATATGAGTGTATATGATAAATTAATTCTAAAAATGCCCAAAACTCTCTACTAGTTGCATAAATAATGCCTCACCCAAAATAACATGGGATGAAGATAATAAAACATTCTTTTAGTTTTATAATAAATAAATTAGAGGTATTCAAAAAATCATTTAAATAAATATGGCATTTTAATCTTAATAAATAAACATGATAAAATTTGTGGATTTATATTCTATTTCCTTTGGTTTCAAAAAATTAAAAAAATTACAATAAATAACTTTTTTAAAAAAATGATTATAAAATTAAGGAAAGATATGGCATAGTGGTCATTGTTATAATTATGTAAATAAAGCTAAATAAAAAAAATCAGATCTGAGACAGATATATGACTGAGCTTATTCTACGTACTTAATTCACGACATGTTCACAAAAGCATCAAACACTGCAATAACATAGCATTTAAATAAGAACAATGTGAACTTTGAAGGCTTAATTTTTTATCCAAAGATTTATAAATATTCATATGTACGAGGGTTGTTCGAAAAGTTCGTGGACGATGTCAGTCTAATTTAAATTACTCACTAGGAATTTAAAACAAGTACAATTTAATATGTTAAAATATTTGTTTTGTTGATGTGTGAAGTTTCATTCCAATCGATTTAACAGAAATCAATTTATTTCAGTTTAAAATCTACATGTTTTGTACCCGCGGAGCACACTTAACGGCAATGTAACGTCAAAACAAAGCGTCAAGAATTTCTAAAAAATACAATCCCTATACATTTCACATAGTATAATCCAATGTCCATTCATAAAATCTTTTTTCTAATATTTGAAATTTATCTTTTAAGAATTGCTCTCGTTGTATAATTTCTTTTGTTAAGGTTTTGATTACTTTTATTACTTAACTCTACTTTCACAGGATAAGCAACTGTGAAGCGCTCATGTCTTTTCTTGAAGTTCCAACTTTTCAAAATTTTTGTTCAGATTTTTAAAGCTAAACCGTTTCTTCACAGATTATCCTCACCCGATACTGAGTCTCTGTCACTGAAATACTGCCTGTAATATCTGTACACACATGCACAGCTCACTTGTGACAAATTTCTCGATTCCTCCAACTTTATTAGTGTTTATTCAGGATTTTTTCAAAGAAAAACACAAAATTGCATAGTTATCTGCTGCTCCGTGACGTTCTAAAACGTCATCGCTTTTGTCGTTTTCAATAAGGATTATTTATCTTCCCAAGTCGATTGCTTTTCAACAAAGCAAAATATAAAGCCATATTTTTTATACGAATCGATGTAACAATTCTTAATTTGAATTTCTAGGTTGTTTTTCGTTTTTGCTCCATTTTATAGAGAATATGACTTCAGACATTATAAAGTGTTTTGTTTGTAACTTACTAAATTTTGACCTGCTCCGCTATCAAATTTTTGCATTTTTAAAATCTAAATTAGTTTTAAATGATTTGTAATATTTTGAAAATAATTAATACAAATCAGTTGGATTTATTGTTAAAATACTTCTACCAAATTTGGATAACATATGACGTCAAATAAAAAAGGTATGACAGTTGTCCACGAACTTTTCGAACAACCCTCGTATATTCAATGCAAAAATATTACAAAAAATATAATGTGCTAGCATATGCAAAAAAAAAAATCCTCAAAAATGAAAAATGTGTGTTTAAAGTACAAGCAAAGCAATCTGAAGTACACATTAATACCAACAATTCTTTTAGTCTTTGAAAACTTGGATAATTTTCCTTAATATTTAAGGATCAGACATTTTATACATACAGACATTGCAATCATCACAACATTCATAACTGGAATCATATAATATACTGGAATTCCTTTGGATTTTTGGATTCTAGAGGAGGATCTAAGTTATTTGTGTCCATCATTCTTTGGAAGGGATTGACTATATGAAGGTCAAGGTTAAAGTCTTAGAATTTTTATTTCAAATAAAAACCATCAAATATATTAAATTTCTGTGTAAGTCCAAACTATTTGGGGTACTGTTAGAATACAGCTTTGAGAAACATTTCGCAACAGCCATAAAACTACAGTGAACCCCAGTATACATGATACATTTGGGTCTAATTGACAATGAATAAAGTGACATAAAACTCTTCACATCGTATGAGAAGCAGTCTGACAGTGTGTTGTTTATGAGCTGGACACATCTTAAGTCACTAATGAGACCAAGGTGACCAAATTTTTCATATCGACACTTCTTTCCCCCCTGAAATGCATCAAATGACCAATACCATAGGCCCCACAAATAACAGGAGATGGTTCAGAATTGAATGAATAATGTCCAGAAATATAATTCCATAAAATGGCTATAATGTAATATATATTTAAGTTAGGAACATTCTCTTCAAAATCATTAGAACAAAAGTTTGAAAATTCACAGTTGAAAGATAAGATGTGAATACAGAAAAGCTTTTTAAAAATTTAACAGAAGGGAAAACATATTCCATATAAAGGCCCATAAAAAAACTAGAGGGACTGTGAGCAATGAGCTCACTAAATGATAAGCCCCGCCTCCCATATGATTATAATGGAAAATTCCATGATTTGCTGTGGCAGGGAAATCCAAAATATGTGTCGGATCAAAAAGTAAAATAGGAGGTGCACAATGGCAATATGTTATAAAGATTCCTGTGAAAGTTTCATTAAATTTCACTCAGTGGTATAAGAGGAGTTGCAGATAAGAGATGGGTACCCCAAAGCGTAACAGACAGACGGACATATCGATTACAGTATACCCTCCCACTTTTCAAGTGGGAGTATGAAAAAATAGCGAAATGTATCATAGATATTCTTAAATGTCATATAAAGGATACATGGATGAACTTATTGAGTGGAGCTGAAAAAAAATAAATAAATAAGATATGAATAAGTTATGTATGTTATAATGCATTCTTGAACATAAATACATGATTTTTTTGCCTTTCTTCGAAGTCTTGATATCCATTTCTTGATTCCTAATTTTTTTTACCATTCATGTAAAGAATACATTTACATTATTTAAGAAAAAGGGGGCAATAACTGTTTTGAAAAATAGTAAAGAATATTGGCCAATTCAAAAAAATATTAAAATGGGCGTCATATTTAACTTAACTGAACTATTTATAATATTTCTTCTTGTCATAAAATTTAAAGCTATAAAGACCCTCATTAGGATTTCATTAACAGAATGTAAATAGTAAATCATTTATCCAATCAAACCTTGTCTACAAGTTTCCTCAGCTTTTCATTGGCTGCTGCTCGCCCCTCGTCTGTATCTCGCCTAAAAACAGTAAACAAGTGAAAGTAATATAATTATTTTAAAAAATTTATGATAAATTAATATACATAGAAAGTAAATTACAACCTAAATATATAAAGTAGATCAAAATAATAAAACCACATCCTTTGTTTATCCTTCCTCATGAATAGCTACATATGTTTTTTCATCAACCAAAGGTATGTCTTTTTACACTATAAACCATATAATTATGCGTTTTAAAGATAGCAGTAAGTAAGGTGATACAATTCATAGTACAAATGCACAGTTTACAACATTCAGTTGAGCATGACACCCATCCATTTAGCTTTACAATTAGCGACACTATCACATAGTATAAACTTTGTCTGTTTGAGTTATCAACTACTACTAAATATAGAATTCTTCAGACCTCTGCATGTCCTGCTGTATGTCCATCTCAAAATGGAGTCTAGCGAGCTGCTCCTGTTGTTCGCGGATTTGGTCCATCTTCTCAAACGTCATGGATCCACCTGATATATATACCAAACACTTTAATGAATGGATACCAAATAATACAAATTGATTAATGGATACCAAATAATACAAATTGATTAATGGATACCAAATAATACAACTTAATTAATGAATTTAACACAATGATAAAACATGTAATCCTTTTTATAGCTATACTGTAAATCGCGTTTTATTCATGAGAACTTTATTTTGCGTAGTTATAGGACACGGTATGTCCACAAGAATTTCATTCTCACAAATAATTAGTAACTTAAAGATCATATAGAGCAATAATTATCACAATTCATGAAATTTTCATATGCTAAAAATAATTTAATTACTATCTTGCAAAAATAAGTTGTTGCAAAATGAAGTAATCAACTGTACAATATGTAGTTTAATTGTGCAAGAAAAGTGAAATAAATCTGTTATTTAATACATATATAAATATTCTATATATTCATATTGTTAAAAGTCCCTCTTGAGAATTTTTCATTCATATGGAGATGCCACCACTTGCCGGTAGAGAGCTACAAATTTTGTCCTATTCTCAGCAATCAGTGCCATTGAGCATTGAGGGATCTTTCCATACCAGCACCTACTGTGACACGGGACCTCAGATTACAGGTTCTCATTTGAAGGATCGGTCTCCTTGTCCCATGAATTACATGTAAAAAAGACTTTAGCCACTACACTTATCAATCTCTACAATGACACACTAGTACTGTGCATAATTTATGCATTTATTATAAACTAGTTAAACTAGTTAAATTGTGTCAAATATTTCAAATATTAAAATAATTGAAATGAAAGGAAAAATACTCAGCTTTTAGCAGTAGTTTTTTTTTTTTAATACATGCTTTTAATAGTTGATTTTAATTTTTTCTGCCATAAAAGGTTTTCACAAAACAGGCCTAGTGTCCTTGAAGTCCACTCATGGCTAAGGGATCCAATTAAAATTTATTTATATTGCTTTCTGATCTGCTTCTTCATTAATAAACATCTTTGAATCAGAACTTCACATGTAGACATAAAATTTAACAAAAAGAAAACATTTGCCACCTGAGTGCACATTTTGGGAAGTTTGTCATTGAAATGCTATTGCTTCACGGAAAGGCTGAGGGTTCATGTGATTGGGCAAGACAATTTGTATTAAATTAATACCCCCCCCCAAAAAAAAGAAAAAATAATCACTACAGTCAGTAGAGAAAAAGTGAACATAGAGTTTTATCAGGGTAACCATGAGTGGACTCAGGAACCCTGAAGTTGTGACTGAGTGTGATGTGCCAGAGAACCCACCAAAGGCTTGTAGTTTTCCACAATGAAAATCTTCTAGAAGCTGTAGTAGTCCATGTTCCATTGTCCTGACGTCTGCCACGTCAGTTAGAAATGTGTGCTCCTTACAGGTTCTCCCTGTACTCCCAGAGGTGGCATCATTTTTCCCTTAGTAAAAAAAAATAGTCGGTCAAGAGGGAAGATGCAGGGGGTGCATTTCTTAAATGTTATTTTGTAAGTTATTAATGTAAATATTTCATTTTTTCTAAAACTTAAATGTCTGTTATAAGTGTGATACTATCAAAAAGACAAAATATCATGAAAATAATCTCATATTTCTGTTGCATTATTTTTATTATTATAAGAAAGTTGTTGAGATTTATGTTAAAAAAGTAAAATATAAGTATGATTGTTTAAATTTGTATAAGATATAGGGTTTGTTCGCCTGATCTACCTGTTCGCAGGAGTCCATACATGCAGAGTCTGTTCGCCCGAAATATCTTCTTCACCCAGTATTTATATATATAAATGTACTATAGGAATTCAATATTATACATTTATTGCATGATAGTGAGGGAAATATGAAGACTTATTCAGCCAAGAAAAATCATATTCCCCGAGGGCTTCGCTGAATAAGTCTTCATGTTTCCCGAACATTCATGCAATGAATTGTTTATTATACCGAAACAAGCAAAACCTTTGAAGTAAACATAAACTTTCAAATTTGGCACCGCTCTCAAATTCACTTTTATTTTTTACGTAAAGTTACTATAAAAACCTTTGATCAACACATTATCATCAATTTTGTGACGTAAACCAGGCTATTGTGACGTATACTACTCTCGGGAGTTTTCGTTCAACGAACGAGAACTACATTGCGGGAAAATACACTAGGTATTCCAAAGAGATGGAATATGATAAAAAGCGTGCCGATGGACGTGAAATATGAAGTTTTACGGCCCGATCACGTGACAATCTAGAACCAATCAGATAACGCATTGTATAGAATATTTATAATGAGGTATAATAATATAACATGTATCTATTCTTTTTAATTTCTTTAAGGTCTTGGGATTTTTTTCCCCCAAATTCCAATACAAAGAATGATATTTATCTTTAGTCTTAATTCATTTTTAATTTGATTCTAATGTTTTTTGAAGGCCTTATGGTTTGCATTATAGTAAATTATAGATGATTAATATCGATGTTAATTAGGGGGATACATCCCTGTTATTTTTATGAATTGTGCTATGTTCTGAAAACAGTTGAAGGACTGACATGTTAATAGGTCCATCGTCGGAACTGAACAGCGAATGAAGACGGTTTTACCTTTGAAGAATCTCTCCCTTTGATCTCAAAAAATGATTTATAAGAAGACGGAAGATGAAAATTCTAATTCTGTATTAAATATGGCGAATGGACCCTGTGTGAACAAGTTATAGGGCTAGCAAACTCTGGGCGAATGGAAATTTGGGCGAACTGCATCATGTGCGAACAATTAATTTTTAGGGTGAACAAACATACAAACTTTGTATAATTGAAAGAATATTTAATGTTATATGACTTGATTTCTATACACCAAGTATGAATTCTACAACAACCTGTTTTCCTGGGCTTCTTCTCTGGAGATCTTAATGACGAGGGGTATACGTCTTCTTTGATTACACTTGCAGTTGCTTCCATATCTTATCACTGACGTTCATTCCATTCTTACGAGTCTAGAGATTCTAATACACTAAAAAGAAAATAAACAAACACTGATTCAAATAAGAATCAGTCAAGAAAAACTTATTGTTATTAATTAGTCATTCAATCTAGCCTAATTGATAATAATTTAATTCTGGTTGTAACGCTGTATTTGAAAAAAAAATTACTTCTTTGTTATTAATTTGTCATTCAATCTAGCCTAATTGATAAAAAAAATCAGTTTACGTCATACACGAACCTGCAGCTGGTCGTGACTCGAGGAAATTCGAAAATGGTGAAGCCGACAGCTATTTATTTGTCCTTTATTACTGTATCATCTACGAGAAAATCTTCTTCTTGAGTCTCTGATCTCTTTATGCGTTAATTACAAGCGTCATGCTGATTAACAAATTGTCAGATTAACTTCCTTTCTTACAAGAAATCTTCAGTTCAAGGCCAAGATTCGACCAGTGTCAACAAGAAATGAAGTTTGCACAATAAACTTCGAGGTAAATCGCAAGGCAAAATATATTCCGGATTGGGTAGTTCACTTGCAACCTAGCGCAACCAGTCGACGATATTTTATCAATATGATAAAGAGGTGAAGCTCATTGGATTTATGTCTGTTTATCATTCATTTTCACTTTAATTATAACATTTTTGATAAACGCCTTTTAAATAAAATTTTTAAAAAAAATTAGAAAATAAATTTTAAAAAAAACTGATTAAAATATGAAACAGAAGGAGAGAAACAAACAAGTAAACAAACAAAAAAATGAAGAAAGAAAGATAAAAGACAGAAATAAAGCAGTCTTTCATTAGATCAATCAAAGTACGGAATACTCAAATAGTTCCTTCGGAGGAATTAATTTGAGTAACTATATCAATTTTTTTAACAAGATGCATTTGCGAACGCGAGATAAAGACGATAAGAGTAGTCAAGGGAGGTCCAGATATGCATTCTTTTTTTCAGTAAAAGGTGGATGGGGTGCCCCCACCCCAATCCCTCTAAAAGAAATCTCATATTTCCCAAACATGAAATATATACTTTTAAAATTTTTTGTTTGTTGATTCTTGAGGATCTTCGCTAGCCAATTTAGGGTTTCTGATACGCTACTCTTGTTCATGAGGAGAGTAGCGTATCAGAAACCCTTGGCTAGCGAAGATGATTCTTGAGCCGTTTCCCTTCATTTCTTAATCTTCCTTTCTATGACTCTGTCTACAAGCTTAACAGGGGACTGTGTTTTCTGCGGGGTTTCAATGTCATTTTTAAGCTACAAATATATTCCATACGTTATGTACACGTATTTCTAGCTGGAGGCAGGGGTGTTGACACCCATCGATCTTTATGAACGTCTTAAACGCAAATTCGACAAGGCAGGAAAGCCTCATATAATAATACGACTGTATAAGACTACATGAATATTAATTATCATACGTGTACAACAGAGGCAGATTTTTATAGAACCTTTTGGAAATTAAAGGTGCATGATGTGGCGGTGGATTTTTGAATCTAAGTGAATCATATTCAATCGACAAAAAAAATTAACAAGTGTATCAATTTATGTATATATAAAATACAATGAGGTATTCTTTTGACATTCTAAGTAAATATAAATTAAGTATTTTGTCGTGATTGTAATATATTTAAAAATAATCTTCCCGGATGTACCAAACAGAGAGAGAGGGACAGAGAGAGAGATTTCAGATAAAACCTAACCCACCCCACAATACATGCACACATACACAAGCACCTTCTCTTACTCCACCTTGTAAACATGTGCACAATGTATCTTGGTTATTCGATCCACAGCTTGTGCATTTCTACAGGTAAGTATGTTCTAAGCAATCCGTTTTCAAAGCGAAAACGGAGTAAGTTATCAGTGACAAACAAGTTAATGAAACAAGAATATTAGCAGTCTCTTTTGAAAGTCATCATTTTGTAAGTTTTACGGTCGATACAATGACCTTGTCAACAAATACAATTTATCACTGAGTCAAATGCTGACTGACGTTTTTTCATACCAATTCATAAGTATTAGTTGTATTAACCTAAATCCCGCGTTGCAGTAGACGCTGGCACGAAAAATCCCCCTCACTGCTTAACATATACATGTATAAAAGGAAGTGCCGAATATATTGCTGATCTTCCGTTGGCATGTGGTGGCGTCTCCACAGATGTGTGGAAAAATCTCGAGAGGGATGTTGCAACCACTATTGAAATAATTATTTCAAAAGTGGTTGAGAGTGCATTTCAAAACCAAACACATGTTGCAACCATTATTGAAATAGCATTTGCTATTGAAACAATAATTTTAAAAGACGTTTTGAATGCATTTCAGAACCTAAACCAGGTTTTAACCATTATTGAAAATTTAGTAATGTTTACACTATTGAAATAAAAATTTTAATAGTGAGTGAAATAACGATTTCAATAGTTGCTGACAATTATATTATTTCAATACTTAAACCACATTGCAAGCCTTATTATTGAAAATAATAAAATCCTGTAAAAATATAAGAATAAATCGTCCATGACGTGTAAAATTATGTTTTGATTGGGGAGGGGGGTCATAAATGCAGATAGCTGTAGAAATTGAAATAATATCCACTATTGGAAAAATTATTTCAGTTGTGATCAAGATTTAAGAAATAGAGGTTATATTGTTGCAACCAATTTTGAAATAATGACTATTGCAAAAATCAGTTCAATAGCGGTTGTATTAATGTAAAAACTATTGAAATAACGATCGCTAATAGAAAAAAATATTTCAAAAGCGGACGTTATTTTAAAAGCAGTTTTTTGGGTTTGACCCTATTGAAATTACACTAACTTTTGTATTACATGTAATGTGTATTTCTGTTTTCAATGTCCTGATGAGTAGAAGTTAGATACTTTCCATATTTGCCTTTACCGCAAATTACGGTTTTATACATATAACCACTATTGAAATAAGAAAATCTTACGAATACTTATTTATTTCTGGAATAGTTGATTTTAATGTAGATACGTATAAGCCAGAATTTAGTTCTGTTCTATTTTCTTAATTTTTATTGCAAATAACCATATTCTCGTTAGGGATTATCGGATACATTCACGGGCTTGTCTATACTACAAAAAGTGAACGTTATTTCAATAGTAAACACAGCCTGTTTGGATTTGAAATGCACTCTCAGCAACTTTTTCATAATTATTTCTCTAGTGGTTGTATTTCAGTAGTGATTGCAGCACAGGGACAACAATCAAACAGGCATCTTTAAAAACAAAATTGCAGGTATTTATGATATGAATATTCTACTTTTCGTATTTATTTTCTTGTGAACTCTGAATAAAAGCATGGGATACTCTGTATATAATGTACTTTGTAAATAAAAGAATATTCACAGATTGCAAAAAAGTATCTTTTTAAAAAAAAAAGAAGGAAAAAAAGCCTTCTTGCAGCACCACAGTAGATTCCGTATAATAGTTGGTAGATTTCATTATGATGTGTATTTTTTTTATTAATGGGATTAGTTCTCATGAATCTACACAAGGTGGACTCTATCATCCAAATACTACACTGGAGAATCGCCTGAGACACCTCCTCTCTCTGTAGTCAAGGAAACCATTTCTATCAAAGTCACACGCTCCCCTCAGACTGAACAGAAACCTGTTGGAGGAATACGATCGTGTTTGTCGTGTCCTGTACGGGGAAGATTTCAGATCCTGGTTTGATACCCTTTAAGTAGAAAATGGGAAAATCTCGTTAATATAATTTTGTTTTGTGTTCAGCGCTTTGCAAAAGGGACTGGGTATTTTTCTGATTTTTGTTTGCTTGTTCTTTTAAAAAAAAAATCATTTCCGTCGATTGGTGTGAAAATTAATTTAGTTTTCATCATTATTGAAACTTGATAAACGCAGACCGATCTGATTCGGAAGTAAAAGTGACTGCATTTTTTTAAAATGTCTATCAGACTGGAATTCACGTACAGTTAGGCTATCCCCCTTAACCGTTTTAAAACACCAGTGTTGATGTGTACATACACATACCTTTTCTCATTCTAAAGCATAGGTATGATTCATGTGTCTCAATTAAGCGGATTATTCCCATAAACAGTAATTGAATTTTTTTTCCTTTAAGTTGTTGATTTTATTTTTAAAAACCTCAGATATATTATAAAAATCCCAATAATATCTCTAAAGAAAAATAATCATCTACATTTTTTCTTCAAATTTTGAATTCATAGAGAAACACGATATATATCGCTTTGGAATAGTTTTTATTCATTCCATACCCAGATTTCCACTGATGGGAAAATCATGTTCGTTTCCTTTCATGAAAACCCGGATAAATCAATCTATCAATCTCTGTTGAATATTGTATGTGATATTACAAATATTGCCTTTATAAAGCCCATTGTAAATCATTTATTCCATGGTCCTAATTTATATGAAATATTAACTTTCTGTCATATTGATGAGATTATTGATAATTAGCAATAGGAATTGGAGAGATAATACTTCATGTAAAGGTCAGATTGATTTCTATCAACAAGCAAACTATGACACACGTCATCCCGTCTGAGTTGTCCTACATATCTACAGAACTCCCATCTGTCCTCGGGGGGAAATGTCACCACTCCATTAGAGTGGATGATATCATGAGGAAAGGTCGTATTGAAAAGCCATAATGATAAAACTTATATGCCACAAATGGTTTAACATTTACTAAAAATGAAGTATTTTTTCTTTTAAAAAGTAAGTTTTATAATGAAGTTTAGATAATTTATCTATAAAATCAATAATCTTAATCGGTGAGGATTCATAAAACATCTATTAATTGTTGAGGTAAATGAGATATTGTCCTCTACAAAAATTTGAATGATTTGATTAATATATACCAAATAACACCAAATTTTCCAGTCTGATAAAAATTGTTGGGAAGACATGTACAGTATGTCCATCAATGGACAATTACTGTTCTTTTTTAAGGAAGTTACTGCATGAAATAGTAGGTAAAACAAAAAGTAAAAAAAAATCTTCTTTTAAAACGAGATTTTTTCTAATACCAAACAAATGTGATTAATATTGACAAAATTATAGTGTGTTAATTCATGTGTGCAAATACATTGAATTCCATATGCATGTACACAGTCAGTAAAACTACTCTGAACACAAGGACGAAAATGTAAGAAGATATACATTTAAGATTACATGTACATGCACTTTAAACATACTATTTAGCAAGATTGTGATGTTTGCTTGGAAGATGAAAAAAAAAATTCAGACTACATGTATAATAATTTTAATGAGCATCCATCATCAAAATAATATAGTGAAAATATTTTAAACTGATAGATTTAAAAAAAAAATCTTTACACAAAGATTCAAAAACTGTTAAAATGGCTTTACACATGGACTCCCAGAAAGGAGTTCAAAGAGAAACTTGAATATGAATCCGTGTAAAATATTTTCATTTTATAATATTTGATTTATACTCACCCATATG